AAAGACAACAATTAGCCCAAATCCAAGTAAATTCCAACCACAGAAATAATTAAAGTAAAAGTTATTATGTTTAAAGGAGTTAAAAAAGAATTTCAGGATTGACTTGGAAGATTTAATCAAAAATCTGATAAATTTATTTTTTCTTTCAGCGATTTAGAACTAGTAGAAATAAATGGCAAGAGAAGAAAATGCCGCATACTTTCTAACGAATTAATCGAGAAATTAAGAGAAATATATTCAGAGGGTAACACCGGTTATAATCCGCCTATAAAATTTATTGATTTTGAATTAGACAGTAAAGAAGACTCAAAATTTTTTGAAATTGGTTTTTATGCTGATAATTACCATTATTGACTATCATTAGAAAAAAAACTTCTGCAAGAAGACGCAAAAATTTCTTCGGATGGAGTATTATGGGTTAATTTTGTTATTAAAACAACTACTGACCCCGCACTTCACATCAGTGATTTTTCGCTATTTTTTTACCAAGAAAAAGCCAATGAAACCAAATACGTCCGCCCTTACGCCCTCGGTCAAATCAATTTAATTATCAAAAAGGGCAATATTGACTTAACTACTTTAGCAGATTCCGGACTTTTCCTAAACGAAAGTTATATGAGTGGTAGGCCCCATGACTGCTTGGCCTGTTGAGACATTGACCCCAACACAACACCAATAGCCAAGTATTATGAAACTCACATTAATAAATGTTTATGAAGACCCGACCGCATTAATGAGTTCAAGAAAAAGCAAGTAGAATTAATTGCTAGAATAATTAATCAATTCGACAATTACAAAAACTCAGTCATCCAAAAAATCATTCACCAAGCCAATAGCCAAAGCATTACTGAAACAGAATTAAACAATAACCGTCCCAACTGGCAAAATCACCTCCGTTCTTTGAAAAATAGAAAAGACATTACTGATTACCAAACTAAACAATTAGAAAAAGATATTGAAAATTTGGTGTCTGCCAAAAAGAAAAATGAGGAAGAACGCCAACAAGCCGAAGCCGAGGCTCGTGAGAACGCCAAAAAA